AGATTCACTTCCACAGTACGGCTCATCACAACGAGTCAACGGCTCATCACACCACCATCTCACCAGAGCTCCAGAAAAAACGAGAAACCTTCTTGTCAGGAGAATGATACTGCAAACTTCCTGAAAAATCATAGCAAAATGTTTTTTTTTCAGAAAACAGGATCACATGTACAATTGCTTTTATTAGGGGGTGGGCTGGGGGTGGGGCATGGGAGAAATGTTTCCATACATTCAAAGCTCTACATGTACCGCCAACACTAAAGCAGTGGTGCATGTCACATGAACATGATGTATCATGACACCATTTAACAATATTTATATTACTTTATCGGGGGGGGGGGGGGGGTTGCACACTGCACAATAAGGCCTGTGCAAAGTCTAAAATGGCTGAAAAATTTGGGAAGGTTGGTGATCTAGAAAAAAGAGATCCATTTGTATGGAACAGGATCACACAGAAACAAAACACCTCAATTTAGAATTGCCAATTGTTTCATGTCCCCATGAAGCTGAGGCACTAATGTGTTTACATGAAAATTGATTTGGCATTTGGCTAAGCATTACTGAATAAATATGCAAAGCCTGAAATAAATTCAACGTCAGACATGCCAGAATAAGTTCTGCGAACATGAAAGGTGGCATGTACAATAAAAAAGATTAGTCCGACATAACTACTTTCGTCCTGTTAATTACTGTCAGAATCAAATTGTTATGAAATGTTCATTTTTTTTGGGGGGGGGGGCATTTTTTTTCTCTCTGTTTGTCATGACCTGTTCGTATTGTTTTTATTAATTTTATACTGAATCATGCAAATAGCTTTTTTTTTACCTTCCAATTCAGGCCTAGTTGATCATGTTGATGTAATTTATGTATGGAAATCTTTCCCATGTATAACAAAGTTGAGCACAATACACGACATGTCATGTACATGTGCATCACGCCAATGGAGGATCTCCGTCCACACATGCACGAACCTAGGTACGGGTTAGATCCGCACGCGTGCCCGTACAAATACATGAACACGCAAACGGTCGAGTTGTCTCTAAAGCATCATGCGCTCGGGCTATGCGTGATACACACGCGCGAACCATGTACGCTTTACAACCAACTCGACCGTTTGGCATTCCGCGCACAAACGAAAATATGTCACTTTTTGCACCTAAATATCAACAAATCTACCGCTGGCCCTACCTTCAAACCGGACACATATGCAGCACGTATCTCCAAAACAAAGTTGATGTGGGCCTTACATCGGGGAAAACCTCTTGTTTGGAGAAAAACACCTTTCAATGTGACAAATTTGTCACATGACCGCACACCGCGATAATCAGCTCGGTCGAACACCAGTTTTGACGGTTCTGAGTTAATGTTTTTATCGATGTACGACTTCATCCAAGGCTTCTGTTTAAACCCCAAGAGGCGATGTACTTTTTTGAGTTTTAATCCGAGCTCGATATAAAGCTGTAAAGTGATGTAGTGCAAAACGTACTTGCGTTTGGGTTTTAGCGTGCCGGTTAATTTGGGTACTTTGCTACTAGGCTCGGTATCCAATAACTCGTTTTGATAATCAGACATCCATTCTTGTGGTATGATTATGTTTTCTGGCGCTAGTGGGTAATTGTTGTGCCAATCGTGAAGAGCGGCTGGGTAATCGAGGTCTACCTCTAAGAAATAGCCCGTATCTGACGTTTTATCAATCGACATGATATACTCAGTATTGAATTCCTTGGGCTTTAACCACTTAAAATCTTTGTACGGCAAGTACTGACTCATAGCCCAACCGTATAGGTTATTAGCGTCTAGATAGGTCACGTAACTCGTTGGTTTATCCGGATCGTGGTCGGGCAGATATTTATTGTTTGCTTTGTGATATCTCGCGCTACCGACGCTCGACATGCCTCCTCGTTTCGCTCTCTCAAAAAATAAATGTTTGTCTACGTCTTGCAATAGTTTGAGTTTTATCTGAGAGTGTTTTAACAGTGCATCCCACGATAACCCGGGTGCGGTGAAATAATTAGCCGGATCTAACTTATAATTCTTTTTACATACGCGTCTAAAATTCTCAAACACGCCGGCAAGTAATAACGTGTTGGTAGTCACGTACAAGTCGTGATATTCGCCCAAGTTTTTTATCTTAAACTCTTTCCACACTCGTCGAGCTCTGTCATAGTCTTCTCGCGATATCCCTTCGTCTTTTAGACTGCTGTAAAACCTTTCGATTGGTGGTAGACTGGTCTCTTCAAATTTATCAAACGAGTCCATATATTCGTAAGGGTAAACTCCTTTTTGTAGTAAAAGGTCTAAACTCTCTGGCGAATTTTTAAAATGTTTTCTCAGTAAAGTAAACGACTCTTTTGGACAAGCTTTGACTAAGTTGTCAAGCGATGACGCCATAAAATTGAACGAGTCTATAAATCGTAGATTTCCGATTGAAAACGAAATGTACTTTTCTGAATTTCTAGGGATACAATTTATTTTATATTTGCAAACAGAAATGCCTTGCATGATCAAATGCGCGTCGTAATTTTGTAAATTGTGTAATATGACCGGTATCGTAGTACAACCGGGTTTAACACGTAGCTTGGTGTTACAGTAGGCGTGCGCGGCACCTCTATATCTACCCGTGACGTGGCAGTGATCTCTCACCTTTCTAAATTTGTTGATTTTCTTTTTGCATTCGAGACATTTAGACTCGATAAATCCATTTTTGTTTTCGTACTGATGTTCTTTTATTTGTTTTTCTGTTTTTGGTTTTTTGGGTTTCTGGCATTGACAGTTGCTCGAGTAATTGGGATAAATTGGTTTCTCGCAAATCCAACACATGTTTTTCATGATGTTTTTTATCTCGCTCAGTAAATTCCATGGGTATGGGATTAGCAAATATGCAATTAATATCTCGTTGTAATTTTAACATCTGCTCTACAAACTTAGTTGTGGCGTCTTTGCCCCTGTAAGTTTCTCCATACATATTTTCACCATCACATCTAACGACTACCAACGAATAACCGCTTGCTTTGTGAATGTTTGTCTTTTGCGTGTTTTCCTTTTTATCGTGCTGGGTTTTTAAATCTGTGGTTTTTAAATTTTAATACGTTGTTCTCAGGAAAAACGATTTTAGACGGAGGTTTGTCTATTCCCTCACAATCTTGTTTGTGTCTGTCTAGTTTTTCTTGCGTTCCGTAGTGTGACAGACATCTTCTACAAAAATATTTCTTGTGTCGATCTGCCGTTACAGTATAAAATAATCTAGAAAATTGTTTTATCCAACAGTAGTGACTTTTATCACCGTTGGAAAACAACAACAGATCGATAGCCTCAACGGTAGGATCTGTGTTTTTAGATAATGCCAATACATGTATGTTATCTTGTTCAGTATAACCAAAAACGTTTATTGACAGATTATTTTGTCTTTCTACCCTAGACATTTGATCCGCTGGTGTGGGAAAGTCTATATTTTCGAATTTCAATCCATCGTTCGTGTTGTATATCGTAGTTCTCTCTTCATGGACGTGATATTTTCGGTTGTTTTTGATTCGCTGTTTTACTTTGTCCGAATATTTACCAAGAGCGGCCCTCAAACACCATCTCAAACATTCATTGTCTTTGTTTTGTACGTTGATAATCGCCCTTTTATTTTTGAGATAGTCGGGTAGCTCTATGTAAGAACTACCTCCTGCTTGAGCATAACGGTTTACGTTAATGTAAAACGCGAGTATTTTATCGACTACCCAACCTGATCCTCGATTTGTATGACTCGCGTGTTTTTCTTTTACTTGATCGATCGCTTCTTTAAGAATTTGCTTTACCTGACTCTCCCTCAAAATAACCACATTGTTACTGATAAAGGTAAATTCAGCAGTCACCCGTTCTCCATCAGGTACATTTTTAACGTATCTCACTGTAATCGCAATCTGAACCTTTATGTTAGTAAGTTCTCTCAGTTCTGATATGACTTTGCTTTCGATCTGTTGCTCGTGAGTGCGAAAAAAACAGTTCAACGTCATTATTAAACTGTCTCGGAATCAGTTCCCAGTTTCGAAAGTTATTTCTAAACCTTCTCGTACCTCTGAAGTCAGCCTCTTGAAAATCTTCGGGAGATTTAAATCTCTTGATGGCTGAGAATAAATCTTTTTTCAAAAATCGACCATTATAACCCGTCGGTACGTATTCTAGATTGTGTTCATCTACAATCTGTTTGAGCTCATGTGGTTTCTTTTTCCTCAAGTTTTTAAATTTACTCTCTTCAGCCCTTATGGCATGAATATAGTCTCGACGGGTATAATTTTCTCGTTCATTGATCTCTATATTATTTTGATCAACGTAACTCTTCAATGCAGCTTTAATCCACCGCGAATAGCCTTTAGGTGATGGCTTTGAGTTGGTCTCCATTTAATATATAGATATATTATCTCTTCAAATATGGACTAGATAATATTTTTTTTATTTAATTTTTTTTTAATAAAACCAAAATGTTTATCCACTAAGAGGGCCAAATTTGAATTACAAGTACATAGGAAGTGAGTCGACACTATACGAGAGTGCATGAGAATGCATATGAATAGATTTTGAGCGGCCTTGACCGGTCAAAATCTATCATGCTTGAAATGAGAATTTTCTAGCACAAGTATGCACAATTGCGTGTGGGAAAACACCCATTGCACAATTGTGTGTTGTGTAAACCCCAGTTCTAGTAAACTGTTTGATTAGTCATGATCACCCCAGTGACGTAGGATATTTTGGTTGTTGTTTCCTGAATTTTGAGAATATTGCACAATGCACAATTGTGCGTTGTGTACGTGACCCCAGTGACGTAGGATATTTTGGCTGACGGTTTCCTGAATTTTGAGAATATTGCACAACGCACAATTGTGCGTTGTGTACGTGACCCCAGTGACGTAGGATATTTTGGCTGACGGTTTCCTGAATTTTGAGAAAATTGCACAATGCACAATTGCGCAATGTGTTATAGTCTCCAATTGGAATTTTCTAGATATTTCCACCACTTATTAAACACTATGATCATGAGATCATGAGTAATAATTTTTTTGGCTATATAAGTAGACAAATGAACAGCCCTGCCATTCAACAAACATTCTACCCAGCAGATAGACGTTCATCAGCCTAGCAGCATCAACAACTGCAGTAAAAAATACAGAGCAGTAATATCTACACTTGTTTTAATCAAGCAACCCCCACTGAAAAGGTAAACTATAAGCTATGTTTTTTACTAAAAATTTTAATAAAAGTGTGCGAGGGAGCTGTACAAGCACGTAACAAAGTTTTAAAGTGAACTTTTAACTGTTTAAATTATTATTATTTTTCAGATCCTAAAAGAGGAATTGATCGAGACACAACGTGAAATCCAGCAATCCAAACAAGTTGTCTGCACCATCGAAAGGTAAACATAAATATTCACCCTTGACTAGTGTGGTATATTTCCCGTGAATTGTATAAAAAGTACTCACAATAATCGGAAGAAAACGACACAATTTTGCAGTAGCGCGTACAAGACTCACGTTCCACACAACAACCTTTTACAATTTCAACCCTGGAGGGCGCTATCACACAAATGCATGTCGACTAGATTTTTGAGGAAGGATATGGGCAGTTGCAAAGCACATAACATTTTTTTTGTAAATAACTTTCAAATTTTTAGTATTTGTATTTTTTCCGATACAACAGCAATCATGACTACTTTTTATTTCATAAAAAGGATGAAAATATATATATGCCACTTTTTTTTTTGGTTCTCTCTGTTTTAGAAACACTATGGAGATTCCACGGCAGACCATTGAGATAACTCACGTTGAGGAGTGTCTAAACGAGGCTAACGAAATCATTAGAACTAGTGATGACATCATGCTTATGAATACAATTTGTTTAACAAAAGAAAGGGAAGCGGCACTTCCCTTTTATCAATAGAACTAGTGATGACATCATGCTTATGAATAAAATTTGTTTAACAAAAGAAAGGGAAGCTGCACTTCCCTTTTATCAATAGAACTAGTGATGACATCATGCTAATGAATAAAATTGGTTTAACAAAAGAAAGGGAAGCGGCACTTCCCTTTAGTTCAATATAACTCTGACATCATTTTTGATCTATATTTATTATATTATATGTTGTTAAAGTTATATGTTTTAATGGTAAAGTCAGCCGTTTTTAATAAAGTAAAAACCTCAGACATGTAAACCTAAGAAATCGTTGTTTGTCTATTTATTTATAAGTATTGATAGAGGGCGCCACCAGTTGCTGTGAGTCTGAGTAAAGATCTCCAAGACGGCAAAAGATATTAGATAGTAAGAGCCTGGTCTGGTGCTTGACATGGGGAGCTATATTTGGGAAAGGGGCGGGGGCTAAGTGGGTAGGGAAAGGGGCATCATAGGGGTGGCGAATCATTGGAGAGGGGCAAAGTCTGGTACCCTCCACTTATAATATAACAACTCGGAGAGAGATATATTTTGGGGGCAGAGGGAGAGATATATTTGGGGGAGGGAGACCGATATATTGGGAGAGGGATCTATTTGGGGGCGGGGGGTCATTGGGAAGGGAGGGGCTGTCATTGGGGGAGGGTCATTTGGAGGGGAGGGGGAGGGAGAGGGGAGGGGGTAATTAAGGAGGAGATAATAGGATTTGGAATAGTACCTGCCCAGCTCCCTACTTGCTGATTTCCGGTAGTCCATGCTGGCCACCTAGATGTCCGTGCTGATTGTCTGGTAGTCCCTGCTGGCCACCATGATGTCCGTGCTGATTCCCCGGTAGTCCATGCAGGCCACCATGATCTCGGTGCTAATTGCCCGGTAGCCCCTGCTTGCCGCCATGATGCCCGTGCTGATTCCCCGGTAGTCCACGCTGGCCACCTAGATGTCTGTGCTGATTGCCCAATAGTGACTGTGACTGGCCACCATGATGTCCGTGCTGATTCCCCGGTAGTCCATGCTGGCCACCTAGATGTCCGTGCTGATTGTCTGGTAGCCCCTGCTGGCCACCCTGCTGTCCGTGCTAATTGCCCGGTAGTCCATGCAGGCCACCTAGATGTCCGTGCTGATTGTCCGGTAGTCACTGCTGGCCACCATGATCTCGTTGCTGATTTCCTGGAAGTCCCTGCTGGCCACCATGATGTCCGTGCTAATTGCCCGGTAGTCCTTGCTGGCCACCATGTTGTCCGTGCTGATTGCCTGGTAGTCCCTGCTTGCCACCTAGATGTCCGTGCTGATCATCCGCTATTCCCAGTAGCTGGCCAAAATGATGTCCAGGCTGATCACAAGTCTGCATCTGTTGGCCACCTTGATGTCCATGCTGATTGCCTGGTAGCCCCTGCTTGCCACCTCGATGTCCCTACTGACCACCTTGATGTCTGTGCTGATTGCCCGGTAGTCCCTGTAGCTGGAGTTGCTTTTGGCCAACAAGGCCTGCCTATCAGTTGCTCTGATGTCATTGAGATTTCCTTGAAACATTTGCAAAAAGCAGATGATATAACTGCTCTTTTCTCAGGTAATAAGCGACGATGTCATGAAGTATAGTAATTTTTATCAAAACACAATTGCCAAATTCTTTGAAGCGAATGCTTTCTTTATTGAAATTTCTTTCCTTATTTAAAATCAGAGCAAAAGGAACATATCTGAAACTGAACTTTGTATGTTTGTGTTTTGTGTAATGGTTTTCTAGCCAGACCGCTCTCACCTTCATCGGTGGAAGACATGGATATAGATAGCCTTGGTCAAGGCGCTGGTTGTTTTTTATCCGGCCGTAGCGGGTATTGCATGCAGTCATAATGTCTATGCGCTATGCATGCAGTACAGTGCATTAAAAATACAGCGCAAACAGCGACCTCAAGCGGCCACTTTTTTATGCAAATCAGTTGGACCCAATATAGCGCCTTGGTTCAATCGTCCATGTGAGGTTTTGGGGGTGGTGCTCATTATGTTAATAGCCTTAGCTGACCTTAATGTCGGTTTCTTATTGGTCGATCGTTGCGGGGGAAACTTGCTAAGTAAAACGTGGCACCGTACATAATCCATACATGTACACGTACACGTTATGTGTCTCTGCACACAGCACCAATGCACAAAAACTTTGGTTCCTGTCACGTCCGCAAAAGGCGAATAGCTAGCTGCAGACAATTTGATGACGTCCAGATTTACCAAGGTGTGATTGGACACTCCAAATATAAGCCCCGCCTACACTTATCTGTATTCGCATAAGAGGTCGTGCGCTAGAAATCCAGCGCAAAATAAAGAAAAACTTCGGCTTTTGCCGACGATTGAACCAAGCGCGTTATTGGGTCCAACTAATTTGCATAGAAATGGTGGCCGCATGAGCTCGCTGTTCGCGCTGTATTTTTAATGCACTGCATAATTCATGGCCCTAGCGAGGATATCGTTTACGCGCCACGGCCGGGATGAATAACATTTTGCGCCTTGACCAAGGCTAGGATAAAGAGAGCCAACCAGATAGAAAAGGTAAGTTATAAATGCACCCCTCCCAATACGTTTTTACCTTAATAAAGGTTTGGATTCAATCTAATTGTAACAATTGTCTGCGCTTTATAAATTTCTCTATTACTATTATCATTATTTGACATTTCTATCTTTCTTTGTTGATTATATAAACAGTTCACCAGCTGCAACAGATCTTGACACCTTGCTTCAGATGTTGAACGAAAACATCAGCAATGGTGGGATTAAATCTATCAAATTGTTACTAGGCAGCTATTAGCATTCAACATGTACATTACACATATAAACCCCACTTTATTATAAAAACAAATTCAACTCAAAACTTTGTGCTATGCAAAGATAACTCAAAACAGGTGTGTGTATGAGTTTGTTTCTGCATTCAATAGGGGGCGTTGAGCAATCTATGACAAAAGGGTCCATAATTTACGAGAGGTCCCCAATTTAGATTCGTGCACAAAACATATTGGAGGTCTTCCAAAAAAGTTACGAGTACAAACGAAAAAGGGGCAATAGGGGGTCCCCGATTGCAGGAAAAAGCACACAGTGTGTTGACTAAGTGAATGTAATTGTTAAAACAAAACACACTCTTAATTTAGGGGTGAAAATATCTTTTTAATACGTTTTGTAAACAATTCTTTTAAGTAACATCCATCTGAGAAGTATGAAGGAATAATTGAGAGAAGAATTAAAACTTGAGAATGACGGTCTCAGCAAATTAACAAAAAGAAAAAACGTACAACATCATATATATTGTAATAATAATAATAATAATAATAATAATAAAATAGTAATACTTACAGATGGTAGCCATGTCACCTGACAGATGATTTTCAATGGGCCATCTATCAATTAAAACGTTATTAAAATTACATGACTTAATTATGACTATACATACATACATACATACAAAATACATATCAATTCACATTGATATTGCCACTAGAAAAATCAAACTATAAAAATACATTAAAAGTTCACATCCAATACAATAGGTAAAATAGAGATTTTTAAAAACGCGGTAAAGGAGAACCATGAAAATGTGACACTACCCCCCCCCCCCTCCCCACATCCACCCTTTTGTCAACACCCGAGGAAAACCAACTTTGGAAAAAGAGTCTGCTGGGACAAAAAAAAAATAAAAAAATAGACATACATGTACATTAATATACCGGTGTGTCCATCCAATCATTACAGTCAATGGGGAAAGAATCACACTTATACAGATTTTGTTTTAAACAGTGAAGTAGCCTCTGCTTAAATGTTTCGACATTCGTAACAGTCTTTAGTTCCCCACTCAGCTTGTTCCAAATGGTACCACCCCTGTACCTGAATGATCTCTGACCAGTAGTTGACACATATCCAGGTGTATAAAAGGTGTTAGGTTGATTGCTTCATGTATAATAAGAGTAAACTGAATTAACCGGTGTGAACATGTCCTTTAGATAAGATGGAGCATTACCATGGACAATGTTGAACATTTGCAATGTTTCAAAAAAGTTAATTCGAATATCAATTGGTAACCATCCAACAGTGTTGTAGTCGAGGCCACAACCTCCGAGGCCAAGGCCGAGTCCGAGTCATGGGTCTTCGAGGCCGAGGCCAAGGCCGAGTCACAGCCTTCAAGGCCGATGCCAAGGCCAAGGCCACAGTGTCCGAGGCCGAGGCCGGTTATATTATGTACACACACATGTAAAAAAAAACCACACAAGTTTACACGAAGGTGATGGTTAAAATGATTTTATTAAACAAGAAAGCAAGAGTGAAATCTGGCTGTTTTGGCTTTCTGGCTTATCATGATGCATCTTACAGTCCTCAAAGTACATGTTCATTGCATTTTAGGAACATTAGGGTTTCCAGCATCTGTGGGGTTAGCCTTGCCCGATGGGGTCTCATTATTAGCCCCCCTCTGCTAAAAATGCGCTCTACTGGAGCACTGCTGGCTGGCACACACAGAATGTTCTTGGCAAGAGCATGCAGTGATGGGTACTTATTTTTTCCTTCACCACTGTCCTGCCAAAACGTAACAGCATCCAGTCCATGTCGCTCTTCATCCCGAATGTATTTCTCGAGCTGAATTCTTACGCTGTCCTTCTCCCCACTCTTTGTGCGACTCCTGATTGTCTTGTATTTGGCCAACAAACGGGGCACCTTTGCAGGGATGTCTTCCTCCTCACTACTGGTGTGGCTGAGGGATGCAGCTTCTTCTGCATTGGATACAAACCTCTCTGCCTCAGTTATGACCATCTCTTTAATATAAAAAAAGAATACATCAATCAAGAAAAATATATTGTACAAGTTTATTGAAATGGCACATGAAATAAGATTTTAAAGACTTGAAACGACCCTGTACTCAATCTGACAAAAAAATCTCCTTTTCACTGCCTAATTTGGGGTGTTTTTTTTAACCCTTTTCTGAATGTTGTGTTTATATGCAAATTGAGTTTGGCATATCTGTAATGTCATCCAAGGCAAAACTGCAACATCATGGCAGGTTTGTGAACAAAAAACATTACAGATTTTTCTCGTTTTTTCTGTAAATGATAACTCCAGTAATATTTTTGTGTCGTCTAATATTAATGAGTGTTTAGACTTGTCAGTACATATTTTGAGGGGATCACTTTTTTCATTAGCAAAATTAGTGTTTTTGACATTATACATTTTTAATGCTGTTGTTATGATATTCTTTTCCCCATTTGAGTTCATACAACAGTGCCACAATGTGTTCAGTTTAAGATTAGTTATTTTTGAGAATTGAATTGGTACATTAAATCTTAATTTTTGAACAAAAAATCTCCTTCCATTACTGTTTTTAACCGTCCTTAAACATGGATATTTGAAATTAAATTTACTGGAAAAGTTTACAACTTATTGGATCCTCCGCTCAAACTTTGCTCTTTTGCTCTTGATCACAAACTCAACATACCTTTCAGAGTATCCTTCAGCTTGTTTTTGGATTTTTCTGGGCTTCCGGTGAACACCACATCCGCATCTACCCAGTGCAGCATGTACTGAGGATCCAAGACAGCACCTACAAGATAAATCTTTTCAATGAATGGCTCTTGATGACTCCCACTGCCTGGTTCGGTGTCCATGCCACAGTTGATGAAGATCCCTCTAAATCGCTTCTTCAGCGATTTGTGAAGAGCTGTGACAAGTGTCTTACAGACCCTTGCATCATCCTTCCACTTGCTGAGATGGCTGTTGATGTCAAGGACAACAGGAACCACTTGGGTTATTGTGGCGCTTTTATCCCCTGTAAAACAAAAACAAAATGAACACACATAACTGATTTTGATCTTATTTTTATCAATTAAATGGCTGAGAGACTATGCTTAATTTATAAAATGTATATTTATTGGATGATTGTTAAGTGTTTTTGCCACGAAACTTACCCTGCGTTAAGTTGGTTGCTTCAGCAAACGGCTCCAGGATTTTACACAGCTCAGTAACTTGCCCCAACTCATTACGTGTCAGTAGAGCATTTGAAAACTCTGGTGGTTCGCACACCTCACCAGTCCATTCCTTCTATTCTCAAGAGTGAGCGAAGTTGGTGGTATTGTGAGTTCCAGCGAGTAGCCACTGCTGCAGGGATGGTACGGCCAACCCCAAACTTATTTTCAAACCTAAAAATAAGACGGACATTTTAAATTCCAACCATTCATTAACTAACTATACACAGGACAATGGGAGACTTTGGATCAAGAACTCTGAAAACTTTAATACTCACCTTTCTTTGAAAATGTTACTCTTGTGTAAGAGAGTGGAGATCTTTGTGACCTTGGCAATCGCTCGGCTGACACACTTCATGTCTTTCAACCCATCATTGACAACAAGTTGAAGAGAATGGGCAAAGCAAGGTATCCTCTGCTTGGAGCTCAGTCTCAGTACGGAGTCAACATGAGCATCATCCTCATCGTCCAGCTCCTCCCAAACTGTCTCATCCTCAACTTCCTCGACCTCTTCTTCATCCACAGATGCCTCTTCATTGCCCTCTGTTGGAAACTTCACTTTGAACGCCTTTTTCATATTCGCTGCATTGTCTGTGACGATGAAGTCTACCTGAAACAGCAAAATAATATTATAACAAAAAAATCAATGCTTCAGCTGATGCATTTATCTCTTTTGACAGCCGAAACCATAAAAAAACAACCTTAACCAAGCTTTGCTCCTATATTGTAGTCTTCAACAATGCTGTCAAAGGCCTGAGCGATTCTTTCCCCTGTGTGCCTCCCACGGAAGTGCTGGCAGACCAGAAGAACAGATAACAACCCATAGCTCCTAGTTTTGGGGTTTGTTCCCATGATGTGTGCTGTTACACCCAAGTAGCTGTGCATGGTCCTATCAGTCCAGATGTCAGTTGTCAGAGAGATACTGTTGTGTTGGGATAGCAAGTCCATGACTTTCTTGTTACCTTCAGCTCTCAACTGGGGAAGTGCCTTACTTGTCAACGTTGATCTGGCCATGGGCTGATACCTATTTCCAATAAAAATATATCAAAACTTAAAAAAAAAAAACTTTTAATGATACATTGCAACATGCCTATGACATTCTATGATACAGTGATCAGCACAGTATAATCAATGCTCCTTAAGTTATTTCAGTTCCAATTGTTATTATAGTACAATTGTGTGTTATGTGTACTTTTATTATCACTGCAGACTGTATCACTGCATAAAAAAAGTTTATTTTATTATTATTATTTTTTTTTTTACAGTTTTTAATCATTCTGTAGTCCAGTTTCTGAATTTTTTTTCTTGGATTTTAGTATGATTTTTTTTCTGTAGCTTTAAATACATGTTTAAATTTTTATGTAAATACATGTTTATATTTTGATGTTAAAATGTGAGGTGCTATTGAGTTTCTATTATAATTAGGCGAGCCAAAAACAAAGACTGAACAAAACAAAACAAAAAGGACATTTCAAGTACCTTGGATCCAAAACTTGCAAAAGGCTCCTGAAATGTTTGTCCTCAACAATGGACAGTGGAAGGCTGGATCCTACTATGAACTTCACTATTTCTGCGGAGATCAGCTTCTGCCGTTGACTAGTCTGCTTATACTTCATTGGCACAGCCTCTCCATCAGTTGAAGATCCAGCAGTGGGATGAAAAAATCCCTTGAGATCCTGCTGAGAGCTGTTGATTGTTGTTTTTCCCTTCAAATATTCCTCCCACCTGAAGAATGAAAAAAAATAAATTTTCAAGTTAATTCCAAGTTGAAATGTTAGGCTTATCCCCTATCAATAACACTCTGATTTTGAAGCCCTACAAATGCAAACCAAGGCTTTCATTTTACCAATTAAAACTAGCAGCTGAACCATTGCACCATAATAAATTAATTAAATGTTTGCCTTTTAAACTTTATTTGAACAGCACAACTGAAGAAAAAGAAGCATTTAAAACGAATGAACCTGCCATAGAAGTCACATGTAATTTTCTTTTACTCCCCCCCCAAAAAAAAAGTAAGAAAAAGACAAAACAACAATCACCTTTAATACCAGAATTTCTTTAAGTAGCCTAATTAATAATAGAAAATATTCAAAGTGTTTTTGTATTTGTATGGGGACAAATATTTTAGCCTGAAATTATGATACTCAAAAACTTTGGTGAACACGACAGAAAAACGACCAACACACTGACACTGACACACCGACCATGCTACACTGCTGCATGTGTAAAGTTACCGTGCATGGCGGCAATGTTGGCCGGCTACCGTGCGTACACGCCAGAGGCAGCAATTCGGAAAATCACGCTGTCGCTGTGCCATTTTCTGACTTGCACTCAGCGGCAAACGTGTCAACAGCGTCGATCTCAACTCCGACTTTTCTAACGTATTTCAGATCAAACAAATTTTAAAATGACAGCTAGGATTAGGCAAAAACAAGGAGACAAAACAACAAGACAACCTGTGAACGTAAAGTACACACTTACTTTGCTTTGTGAACACGTTGAAGGTGCCTTGTAAAATTCGATGTCGTGCCACAGAACTCGCTGAGTTTTGGAGCCTTTCCCTTGCAAAACTTGCAGGAGGCTCTATGTTTCCTTTTCCCCTTTTCTTCATATTCTTCGTGGTCGACAAACCCGAAATGGATGATCCGGGAATTTGAAGACATTTTGAACAATTCTCAATGTTTTGTTAGCAAAGCGACTACACAGATCAGAGTGACTATAGTATAAGTACTTCATACGTGCGAATGTACTGTACATGTACATGTACGCGCACACACATCCACAGTACAGCGAAGGTTCCCTGTATCCATTGCCATTAACACACGTTCAGGCACACCGTTGAGGGGAAACCAGTCCAAAGCGGGAGTTAGACTGGTTCTATTGCAAGAAGATGATGCAGTGAGTATGTGCGATGCATGGTGCAATGAAACAGCAGTGACGGTCTATTGGTAGCGTGGTGGACCAGAAGCCAGTCTAGCAGGAGTAGACTCGCCGGTTCGCCGAGGACTAAAAGAAGTGACGCACGCAATAGCATGGTGTATATGTACATGTACATTACATATACGACTGTAGGCCGGCGGGCCGCGGGGGGCACTTCAACTTTTCCAGTTCATTCATTCGTGCGTGCGTGCTGCACGTATTTTTCATTTAGTTTAACATGGAGGGGAAATACAAAGGGAACCCATTACTGCAGCTTTTCGGAAGTTTTAATATGGTAATAAAATATAAAATAATTTGAAACCGAAAACGCATTTGAATTGGTGGAAATTGGGCGGCCTCGAGCCGGCCTCGACCAGTTTCACGAGGCCGGAAAGCCCCGAGGCCAAGGCCGAGGCCGAGGCATCAACGTCCCAAGGCCAAGGCCGAGGCCGAGGCCTCAAAAATCGGCCTCGAGGCCGGCCTCGAGGCCGAGGCCGGCCTCGAGACCTCCAACACTGCCATCCAAGTTCTTCGAATAGGTGGACTGTACAACTTTGCTTAACATCTCTAACATCAAGTATACTTCTGGCAAATCGCTTCATTATTACATGGATTTTAAGTAATAACTCTTTCCTACAGTTGCCCCTGACAATACATCCATAATCAATAAGTGGTTGCACTAGCCCTGTATAATAATCTTTTCTGGCTTTCAAGGGAAGAAGGTATTTGATTTTGTTTAATATATGAAGACGGCCTCTAAGTTTAGAACACACGTATTCGACATGAGTTTCCCAGGAAAGACAATTATCAAAATGAACACCAAGTAGCTTGTGCGACTTCACATGAGTTATGTCGTGATTGGGCCCTCAAACTGAAAACCGATCAATTGCACAGGAAATCTTTGTACGAGACCCAATCAACATGCATTCAGTTTTGTTTATGTTAAGAACCATCCGATTATCATTTATCCATTCAGAAATAGGATCCATTTGATTTGACAAACTAAGATTGATAACTTCCACGTCCTTATCACTTGTATATAGAGTCGAGTCATCAGCATACATTTCCATTTCAGTACCTTCGATTTCTAAGATGATGTCATTCATATATAAAATAAACATCAATGGGCCTAGGATCGATCCTTGTGGCACTCCTAATAGGCAGCGGTGTTGACAAATGGCCATCGTATGATACACACCGTGTTCGATCAACTAGATAGGATTTGAACCAGGTCCTAGTGATTTCTTCACTATTTGCCAAATAAGACCCATCAACCATCATGAAGTATCCATTAAATGAGCTTGTATATCAACAATGTAGTTAATTACCAAGTCTTTCCTGAAAGTCAGCTTCTCGATGAACCACTTGTTCACACAGGTGTTCCTTAAGGTCAGCATCCCAGTGAACCATTTGGTCACCCAGATGTCCCTGATTGGTAGCTTCCCGATGAACCATTTGGTCACCCAGATGTCCCTGATGGTCAGCTTCCCGATGAACCATTTGGTCACCCAGATGTCCCTGATAAAGATGTTCCGCCAGGTTGGACCAGATAAATGTTTGTATTTTAGCAAACATCATAGGGAATGTTTATGTAAATACTGGCTCATATTCATAATTTACTAGCAGCTCTTTTGGGATTCAAGCAGAATGGAGGTTATAAACTCAAAGTTGTAACAGCAGAAATCCTGTTACAACACTGTCGGCCATTGCCAAACCGGGCAAACAGAGCGCGATGTACCCGGATGTTGTACGCCGGGCGCGTGTACACAATACACATGGAAGTGTAGAAAGTGCGCGATCGGTGCGATTGTAAAGTACAAAATGTATACGGCAAAATTGTTTTTTACTGAGCTTTTAATTTGGGATTTTTTATTTGGTGAAAAATAAAAATTATACCTTAACTTCCTGAACGCGGCGAATTAATCCAAACACCAAAATTCCAGCAACAGATGGAGAATTCGGGTCGTCATCATGTACCATCGTACTCGCAGGATTCACCACCGCCGTAGGCTGCGACGTTGAAGGGGCTGGCCGGGGCGCAGGCACGGAAAAGGCCCGAGGTACTACTGACCTAAAAACAGGATGGTTTTTGTCAGATGATGTCTTGTTGATGGCTTATTTCTGTTCACAAATCGCTCTGTGTACTGTCTTCCATGGTGATACAGGACGGTTTTGATGAACAATTCGCTGATTCTCTTTACAAGTTGAGTGCCGTGATCGTCTTCCTCTGTCAAGTCCTGCTCAAGGAAATGCTCGGACAGATCACCGAAAACCGATCCGCGAACTCTAAGTAACAGGTCTTGCTGGACGGATGTAATAAGAGCTGGAGAAGTTCCTAGTGGATAAGGCCTACTTTGCGTACCTTGTGGAACACTCGTCAATGCTTTCCTGTATACACAAAATTAAAAATATAAACTGCATCTATTTTTTGGCGTTTTGCCTCTTGTTCAGGCTTAATTGTGTTCACTCAGCAGTGAGGGGGAGCAGTTTAATTTCTTTTTTTTCTTTTTTTTTCTTTTTTTTTTGTGGGGGGGGATTTCCTAAGTGAATTCTTCAGCTTTATTTTCTTTGGAAACAATTCCAACCTTTGAATTGGGAAAGAAAAAAATGTTCTCCCCATATGTGCAAGAAATGCCAGCGGGTTCAGGAGGAGCAGATTTTTTTTGTGAGGGGATAAAAACTTCTGAGGCTGAATAATATTATTGGATGTATCAATATGGAAAGAACCGAATGGAGCAGGCTGGGTGATGAAATTATTTTGGTTGTATAGGGTCAGTGAAATCACTAATACTATTGTGATAACCATAGAATTAATATTTGAGTCCAACTTTGGTGAATTTTCTTTAAGGGACTTTAAATCTGACACCACCCTACTGCAGACATCTTTGCTCTGAATTCAGTAATCTGACATCCCCAAGTTGAAACATGCCCTTAGTAACCCAATCTGACATCCCCGCGTCTGAAAAATGGATGCATACTCTTAAAGTTTTATAAGAAACTACCACAAAAAATATTTATGGAAAAAGCAACAAGTCAAGGACTCAATATGGCAAGAAGCCTTATCTTAACTCAAAACATGAATACAACAATATTATATTTCAATTTATTATAGCTGGATATTAAACAAAATGCTAATTGAAATAACAAACTCATGTAAATTGGAAAAAAAAAACCAAGTTAATTGAAATAAAATCTGAAAATCAAAAATTCAAACCAGGAAAAGCAAGGAACAAAAGCCACTCCTATTGTTAAATCAACAACATGCAAAGCATTAGATTGCACTTTTCAAATTTGATGACTGTACGCCCTGCCTGGTCCTTGTGTTCCCATGTATACACATTTTTCATAAATATTTCTTAGCTTATAAATTTGAAATAATTTTCATGTTTTCCTCAAGAACACGTACAGCATTGAAAACCTTACCCAAAGATAGCACAGTCTATATAAAAAGGACCGCAGTATCCCTGCCCCCCCCCCCAAAGAAAAAAAACCTGCTCTATCCATTTCACTTTAGAAAGATATCTACATGTATATTCAAGAAAGGACTTTGTTTCTGAATTGGGTACATGTAGTAATGTCAATAAACGAAAACTAACCAAACAAGAAAAAAAATAAAATGTTATAACAAATGTACATGTTCACTTTTATGCATACTGATATTGCAAGCATTGCCTTAAGTGCACACCAGTGGCGTAGCCAGGAATTTTTCGGGGGGGGGGGGGGGAGGCGCTGGGGGGGGGGGGGGCTGGAACATTTCATGGGGGCGTCATGTAGATCAATTCATTTTTTTTTTGAAACTCAAAATCTCAGTGAGGGGGGGGGGGGGGGGGGTGGCGACAAGGTTTCATGGGGGGCTTCCCCCCCCCCTCCCCACGCTCCCCCGTGGCTACGCCATTGGTGCACACACACAAATATGAATATGAAACATTTAAAAACATAGTAATTTTGAATTAAAAGAATGTTAGTGTAAAATTGAAATAAAAATCAGCAAATACTGATCGGCTGCGGTCATCTTTCTTTTAGGTGGAGGCCTCTTGCTTGCTTGCTTCTTTTGCTTATGAAGCGGGAAAGCCGGGAAAATGGAGGGTATTGCAGACTCCCTAAGTTCATGCTGACCAACTTCCTGGTCTTTTCTGGGATGTATACCTGCAAATGATAAGGCAATTTTTGCATGTTTAATATCATATTTGTAATAAGGAATATAGAGTTATCTTTCATTTAACGAAACTTTTTGTTTATTTTTATTACCAAAGGAGTCTAAGGAATAACTGAATGGCCAACAACATTTCTGTCACTAAATTTTCCATACACAATGTGAAACTGATTGGATCCCAAGCTAAGGAAAATCAGTAGGTAGTAGGTAAATGTACATGTAAGGTTTAGCTTGGACAATTAGTTAAATATTGCAAGTACATCACTGGGTTCTGTCCCTTCCCACACAACTATTCACTCAGAAATTTTAAAACCACAAGAACACTGATACAAGTAGAATGCTGCTATAAATATTTATCTTCTGGGATTGACTGCAGCTATGTACACATCAACATACCTTTTACGTAGTCATCCTTGTCAAAATGTTCACTACACACCAGATGATACTTGAATGGACAAAAGTTTGCTCTGCTGATTGCTGCCACCCACTTGCTTAGTAGAGTCTGCTTTCAAAGAGGGAATCATAATATAAAAGAAAATTACCCAAAATAAAAATAACAAGGCATATTTTCAATCACCCATTTCCAAAATA